TTAAGCCAATTACAAAGATTATTCAATTTGATTCAGTAACTGCTCCACGTATTACTTTATCAAAAGAACCTAAACCTCATGAATATGAAGATCTTGAAATTGATGTTGAAACTATCTGGAACACTATTGCCCCATTATTGGCTTGTGCCCTTTCACTTTTTGCAATTGTTAATGAATTATAATTAAATGAAATTATCTTTCTTTATCATTCATAATTTTTTGGATTAATTTTACTTTTTTTATAAACTCTAAAATATTTATTTTTTCTTTTTTTTTAACATTTTTAATAAAAATTATTTATTATTAAATCAAAATAATATTAGATATACAATCAGTTATTAAAAAAATATAATGTAATATGTTTATTATTGAATTGTTACTAATATAAATTTTTATTATGATATTTTTATATTTATAATAATATAACATAATGCTCTTATATGAAGAAATTATTTTATTATTTTTTTATATTACAATTTACAACTAATAACTAGAGCAAAATGAACTTTTGTTTTGTTTCTTACTTGTATTATTGAGTCATCGTTAACTTTTTAATTTTTAAAATGAACCAAAAAACTCTTGAGCGTATTAACACCAAATTGTGTTGAATAATAATATCAGTAATGTTAGTACATTCATTTTTTGAACAAAAGAAATTAATGGAATTTAAAAGATGTAGTGAATTATTTTTATAAGATAATGCTAATCAAAACAATTATAATAAGAAGAGACTTTGATTTAGAAATGAAATGAATTAAAGAAATAAAAGCATTATTTCTGAATTAAGAAAAAATAATACAAGTAAATCTAATATTAACTTTTTTTAAAAAAAAGGTACGTTATGTTTTATATCTTTTTTTTTCTGTGATGCAATATTTACATCATAGTTGCTTAATTTTTTAAATCTTTCTTCATTAACACCAGGCTACTGATTATTACATGAAAAGGAGGTGATGAAGAAGAGACTCAGCAATTCTAATATTAAGAAATATCTTTGTCTTGCGTTTTCATGTTGTGTTGGAATGAAGTGTATCCTTTCCTTTTCAAGAAAAAAGACCAAAAACGGGACTGTCTTCAATATTGATTCGTTGTGCTATCTCCAAACAGATTACATCACTCAATCAACGATGTCGATTTATGATGAAAATACAATGAGTAATAGATCAAAAAGAAGAAAAATTGAAAAAGAGGCTTTAAAGAGCTCTAAAAACAAAATCGATAGTATTCTTGTTGAAAAAAATATTAAAAAAGACTCAGGCACATTTCTCTCATTCTTTAATGAAACTGAGAGTCAAGAATTATGTTTCCGGTTACTTAAAATACTAGAATTGAAAAAAGAAAGTGAAAGAAGTGCAAAACAAATTATGCTCATGCCATATGAAAAGGAAGTAAGACAATTAGTAAAGAGTGTTATAGAGTGTGTTAACCCAAGTCCTTCATCTTCTTTTTTTGACAAAGAACTACTCTTAAACTTCTTACAAGAATAATTGAGTAAACTACTTATTCTTTTTTTTTGTTAATTAATTTAATGTATCTTAGATAGTGTCCAACACTTAAAACAACTAAGAAATTTATAAAACCATCTTTTTTATCTATAGGATCCAAAGATTATCTTTTCAAAAATTCTCACCTAAAGCAAACTCAAAAGGGACAAAATCAATTGTTGTATGATAATTTCAATTACTGTCGCTAAAAGAAACATAATATAAAAAAAAATTCAATATAATATTATAAACAGAATATTGTGTTAATTTTTCTATAACTTAAGACTGTCTTATTGTGTTGAAAGAAATATAATAATTATCAATAAATAAAACAAAAGAAATGTATCTATCCTTTGAAATACACACCAAGTCTATTACCATTAAAGAGATATTAGTTATGATATAATTATTATTCACTAAGGACAAGTTCAACAGAATTATTTTAGATGAGACAATAAAAGTTGAAAAAAAAAGAATGGTTGAAAGTTTATTATAAAATAAAATGTTTACATAACAAATTTAAGTGATTATTATTAGTTAGTACAAAAAAAGAAGATATTCAACGTTTATTTAAAATAATAAATATTTCTAAATTATCTATGGATACAATAATTGAAATAAAATAAAGAAATTTAATCAATTTATGTTTGTTGATGATAATAAAAAGAATTGTAATTAAATATTCATATAAAAAACAATAACCAAAAATAAAAACTAAAATTAATCATCGCTTGATGATGAAGATGATTCTTGTACAGCTTTCTTCTGTATTAATTGATTAGAAGAAGGGTTTTCATTACATTCAATAACAAGAGCATATTTAATATCTAATCCCCAGTTTTCAATTTCTTTTAAAACGTCAATAAATGTTGGCCTATCATCAGGATTTTGATTCCAACAGTCTTGAGTCAACTGCCAATATTTTTCAGGAATTCCCTCAGGTTTAGGAAGTCTTTTTCCTTCAATAACAAATTGAGGGATTTTCCAAGGTTGGTCAAAGACTTTTTCATCTGAATATCCTCCTTTTTCAATATAAGTTTCATATAATACAATACCATAAGCATAAACATCAATAGGATATGAATAGTCAAAGTTTTGAAGACATTCAGGTGCCATATAAGTAGGAGTACCAATACCTTGAGTAAGTTCTTTATTTAATCTATTTCTTTCAGAAATATTTCTACAAGTACCAAAATCAGTTAATTTACCACAAACATCACTATGTGGATTTAATGAATAAATTAATACATTTTCTCCTTTAACATCTCTATGAATGATTTGGTTTTGGTGAAGGAATTGTAATGCTATTGCAAGATCATCTAATATTTTTACTTTTAATTCAAATGATAATTCATGTTTTCCCCAAATCTTACTTAATGATCCATATTCTGCAAATTCTGTAACAATAGCAATTTCTCCTTCAGTATAAACTGCTCCAATAAACTCTACAACACATTTATGTCTTAATTGAGTTAACATAGAAACTTCATGAGTAAATTCTTTTTCTTGTTCTTGAGTCATATTTCTTGCTTTCATTTTTTTAATAGCAACTTCTCTTCCTCTATAAGTTCCTCTAAATACCATACCAAAAGCACCTTCACCAATTGGTGGCATTTGTGGTGTTAAATCAGTGTGATCAAGTTTTAATGAAAGATCAGACTCAATAATTAAACTAATTTTTGCTGTTTCTTTATTTTGGTCATCAACATCCATAGCAATAATACCAATTTCATCACTTACAGAAGCAGTACATAACATTTTAATTTTAAATTTTAATTCCATTGCTTCACCAGATTTTAAGGTATATCTTGGAGGTTCTACTTTTAAATCATATCTATGAGATGGAGTTGCAAGAACTTCAAAGAAATAAGCTTTTTTTGTGGTATTAGCAATTTGAATATTTTGTTCATATTCTTTATCTACAAGAGCTTTATTTTTATCTAATCCAAAGCTTAATTCCCAAGTTTGAGTTTTTAAAGGGAAATTTTTATTATCTGCAGTTAATAAACTTAGTTCTAAATCAGAAGTAACTTTAAATGGTTTAATACTTTTAGTAGTATTTTTTTTATGAATACTTTTCCATGAAACAATAACAATAATAATAATAAGTATTACTATTATAATAATTATTATTATTACTACTACTGGAATAATGATATTTAAATTATTCTTTGAACATGTTCCATTGTCTTTAGCACTATATCCTTTTTCACATTCTTTACATCCATTTTTATCACATGATAAACAATGTTCTATAGTTTTACATTCAATGCAATATCTTGTACTATTTGGATAATGTTGATCATCATCACATTCTTTACATCCTGGTGCTTTTAATTCAGAATACCAAATACAATTTTCACAATTAAGTTCACTTGGACATGTTGTACAATTAATTTGACTAGTATTTTCTGCATAATATCCTTTATTACAATTACCAGCACATCCTGTCATTGTAGGTGTACAAGTCATATTAATTTCACTAAATGGTGAACAAAATGATCCATTATTTCCTCTATAATAATATGGTGCACAATTTGTACATGAATTTGATGATTCACATGAACCACAACTTTCATCACAATGAATACATTGCATATCTAATCCAATAAAATATGTTTGTTTACATTCAATACAATATCCCATTTGTGCTTTTTCACATGTATCATCCATATCTTCACATCTAAATGTTCCATCTGGTTGTGGCTTTAACATTTTATTTGCAACACATGCTGTACAATGATCTGCTTCTTTATCACATAATGTACAATTCTCTGAACATGATTGACAAGTTTTTTGTCCTTCAGGAATATATAATCCAGTATGAACTAAATCATTTTTACATTCTTTACATCCTGATTGATCATATTTACTACAATTCTCTTCAACTTTTTTACAAATATCTCCATCAAAATAATATCCATTTTTACATGATAAACATGTTTCTGATGTTGTAATACATGTACTACATGATATGTCACATGGTTTACATGTTAAGTCTGAACTAAGAAAATATCCATCAATACATCTTTGACATCCATATATTTCACTTCCCACTTCACAATTAATTGATTTAAGTGTAACACATTGTTCATTATATGGAATAAATCCTGTTAAACATTTAAAACATTTTTCTTTATTATCTATATCAATAAAACATTCATCACAATTTTCTATAGTACATGCTACACATCCACCTCCACTTAAACGATATTTTTTATCACATTTTTCACAATGATCCTCTTTTATACTACTACTATCACAATGATCAATTTCAAGACAATTATAAGTTCCATTTAAATAATGTTTATCAGTACATTGGAAACAATTATCTGGTT